TCCACCTCTCGACGGGTACGACGGCGCCGCGTGGTGGTGGTGTTTCCATCGCTTCGTCTCGCGACGACGTTGTCATTGCCTCTGGCAGCGTGGTTGGTACTGCTGATGCTAGCCGTGTCCGTCTTGTCGGCGGGCGCAGCGAGGCTGGTGTCGGTGGGTCCATCGAAATGACGAGCGGCGCGTCTGTCAGCGACGCCAGTGGCGCTCTGAACATTGAAACCGCTACCGGTGGTCGCGCATCTGGCAACATTCGTGTGGCGACGGGGTCTGCCGACGAAGTCGGTAGCATCTCGCTCTCGACGGCTTCGGGACGTCGTGACAGCGGCTCCGTGTCGATTCGTTCGGGCTCGGGCTCTGCTTTGACTCTTGACGCTTCTCATGCGCGCTTGACGGCTGGCAACGCCACGACGACGGGCGACGTGACGGTCCAAGCGGGTGGTGCCGGACATGTCCGCATCTCCAGCCAGGACAAGGTGGTCGCGTCGGGTGTCGTGGAGCTCACGACTGGCGAAAGCACTCTCTCCAGTGGTGACGTGCTTTTGTCGACAGGCAACAGCACTGGCACTAGTGGTGATGTGCTCTTGTCGACGGGCAACAGTGCGAAGGTCGCTGGCCGCATTGTCCTTGAGCCTGGATCGAGCAATTCTGAGGGTGCGTCCGTTGCTATCCACGGCGGCAAGGCGACGAAGGAAGGCGGTCGCGTGCAGTTGACAAGCGGTGTGGCGACGGAAGGGGATCAAGTCAAGTCGACATCTATGGCGGCTCGTCGGCATCTGGCGACGGTGGTTCGGTCATGGTTGCTGCCGGGCGCGGATCTCTTGATGGTGGTGATGTCGATATCACGAGTGGCAGTAGTGACGGCGCTCGTGGTGGTCGTGTCTCCATCACGTCGGGCCTCGGTGCTGAAGCGTCGGGCTCCGTCGGCGTGACGTCGGCGGATGCTAACCTTGTCAGTGGCTCGGTTGTCGTCAACTCGGGCATTGGGTCCGAAGCGTCGGGCGCTCTTACTTTGACTTCTGGCGCAAGCTCAAGAAGCGGAAGTATTCTCTTGGCCAGCGGCTCAGGACAGTTGGCTTCGGGAGCGATCTCGATTCATTCTGGCAACGGCTCGACAAGCGCGCGTGTCTCGATTGCGGCCGGCGACAGCGTTACTCAAACCGGTGGTGTGTACATCGGTGGTGGAGCGTCGTCCAAGGCCACGGGTGGTGTCGTCAACATCCTTAGCGGTTCGAGCGCCACTGGAAGCAGTGGTGCCATTCTTCTCGAGACGTCCGCTTCGGCGACGTCCGGTCGCGCAACGCTGACGACGGGTGCCGGTCAAGATAATTCCGGCGCTGTTTCAGTCAGCTCGGGCGATAGTCAAGGTGAGAGCGGCAGTGTCGTCATTGGCTCTGGATCGGGCTCGACCGCGGGTACCGTGTCCCTTCAAGGTGGGTCGTCTTCGACGGCCGACGGCGGATCGATCGTTCTCTCCTCGGGTGTGTCCAGTGTCGCGCCCGCAGGTCGTGTGAGAATCCTCGCATCCAACGGAACTCATGACGGTGGCTCCATTCAGCTCGTTGCTGGGTCATCAACGGAGAAGCTTGGTGGCTCGGTTGTCGTCACGTCAGGGCCGTCGGTGCATGGCAGTGGCGCGATCGCTCTGGCAAGCGCCGATGGCATCATGTCGCTACGGACGACATCAGGTAATGTCACGATCGCTTCAGCGGCTGCGAAGGCGGCTGCAGGGGACGTTTCCCTCGCTGCAGGTCTCGGTGGTAGCGTGTCGATCTCAAGTGGCAGCGCTCGGATTGGCGTATCGAAAACTGGCGATGTGAGTTTGGCCGCTGGCGTCTCGGTGCAGCGCCGTGTTGGCCAAGTTTCCATCACAAGCGGTCGTCAGGATGAAGCCGGTGGCGACATTGCCATCGCGACGGTTGCGTCTACCAAGGGCACTGGTGCCATCGTTATTGGCTCGGGTGCGTCGAAAGAGGCGTCCGGTGCCGTGACGCTGCAAACGGGCGCAGCTAGCTTGCGCTCTGGTGACATGGTCGTGGCTTCTGGGCAAGGCGCGCTTGTCGGCGGTCATCTCAACTTGACTGCGGGCGACTCGTCGCAACACGGTGGCTCCGTCACTGTTTCTGGTGGCCGTGGCACAACAAATGCTGGATCGGTCACGGTACAAGGTGGTGACGGCGGCGGCTTGGTGCGAGTACTTGGTGGCTCGACAACTGCCAAGAACACCGGTGGCTCCGTTGAAGTTGTCGGTGGCGTATCAACGACGACCAAGCACGGCAATGTCACGCTTCGCGGTATCGCTTTGGCATCGGCTGCAAGCTTGGTTGCAGAAGGCGGCTCGGACGCTATCGGTGGCGCTTTGGTTCTTTCGGCGGGCACTGCAACGAATACGGGCGGTGCTGCTGTGCTGGTGTCGGGCTCGGGCTCAGTCTCGGGTGCGATCGCGGTGTCATCGGGCGCGGCGTCGGAAGCGACGGGCGCAACCGTTATCCAGTCGGGTGCCACATCCAGCGGGACCTCGGGCAGTGTGCACTTGAGCTCTGGCCAAGGCGCCGCGTCTTCTGGGAGCGTTTTGCTCGGCTCTGGTCCATCGGCGACCACCAACGCTGGCACTCTCGATGTATTTGGTGGCTCGAGCGACCAAGGCCGTGGTGGCGACGTCGCGATTCGCAGTGGCTCGAGTCGTCTGTCTCAAGCAGGCTCGCTGGTTGTCCAAGTCGGCACCTCGAGTGCCGCACGCGGCGAAGATCTCGTGTTGCTTGCTGGTGCGACGACGGCGGCTACGATGGCTGGGGGTACCGTGGCCATCTCTGGTGGCGCTGGTACTACTGGCGGCCGCGTACAGCTCACTGCTGGTCATGGTGTGACCGGCGGCGACATGGCACTTGTCTCTGGCAACGGAACGATGACGTCTGGCCACGTCTCGGTCGCGTCGTCAACGTCGGCTGGGTTGTCTGGCACCATCAACGTGCGCTCGGGCGATTCGTCGGCAGGATCGTCTGGCGCGATCGTTCTCCGTAGCGGTAACGGTGCCGTCGCTGGTGGTATTCGAATCGTCCAAGGCAAGAGTACATCGACCGCAGCTCAAGACGGCATCTATCTCGAGAGTGCGAGCACGTCGGCTGATGTTGGCGCGTCGATCACGGCTGTCTCGGGCGCGGGCGAACGCTTGTCCGGCGACGTGTTGCTTGCAAGTGGCGCCAACTCGCCCAAGAGTGGCAACGTCTCGATCACGTCGGGGCGCTCTACGACGTCGGGTGAGATTCGCGTATCGAGTGCTACAGCAACCGATACGGCGGGGCAGGTGGCAATTCAAGCCGGTACTGCTCGTCAAGGTGGCCAAGTGGTCATCCAAGCGGGTGTGTCGGATGAAGCCGTCGGAGCGAACATTGTGATCCAGTCTGGCGCGAGCGCGAAGCGCACGAGTGGTGATGTGCGTCTGACGACGACGACCAACGCGTCTGGTACGGGCAACATCGACGTGGCCACGGGCGATGCAACGGGAAACGATGCCGGCGGCATTCACGTGCGCGGTGGCTCGAGCTCCCGTGTCGGTGGGTCGGTAGCGTTGACGGCCGGTGCCGGTGCCATGGTGCCGGGCCGATTGTCTCTCCAAGGCGGCTCGTCGACGGCGTCCAAGGGTGGCGCCATTGCGATCAGTTCCGGTCCCGGTGGCCAAGAGAGCGGCAATGTCGAGGTTGCAACGGGTCCTGGTATCGAAAGCGGTACACTGAAGCTCGTCTCAGGGGTGGGTTCGATTCGCAGTGGCGATGTGTCTGTCGCATCAAATCATGCCCCGGTGACCGGTAACCTCGACTTGTCGACGGCGCATGCCACGACATCCTCTGGGAGTGTGACGATCGCCGCTGGTCGTGCTCCCAACACGGCTGGATTTGTACACGTCTCGGCGGGCGCGAGCACGTCGAGTTCCGGAGGCGCCATCAAGCTCACCGCCGGGTCTAGTGAGGCAAATGCCGGCGGCGCGACGACCATCGCCGGTGGACAAGGCGAAACCTCGCTCGGAGGTGACGTCCGTGTCGTGGGTGGTGTTGGCCGCCTCGGCGGTGGTGCTGTGCACATTCTCAGCGGCGACAGCGAAACGATCTCGGGCGAAGTAAAACTCGCGTCGGCGTCGTCCGATGCGAGTGGCAACACTTTGATTTCGACTGGTGACGCCAAGTTGGCGTCGGGCTCGCTGGCCATTTCGACTGGCAATGCATCGACCTCCGGCTCGGTGCTCATCAAGGCGGGTACGAGTGACGCCTCCACAGGCCCCATTGTTTCTCTCCAAGCCGGTGGCGGCACCTCAGGTGGCACTCTCGCTCTTCAAGGCGGTGCTGGTCGCACGGGCGCCTCTGGCGCCGTCGACATTTCGTCTGCGATGGCTGGTTCTCGTTCTGGCGACGTGCACTTAAGTTCTGGTGTCCACCGTGATGCCTCTGGCCAAATCACGATCCTAACGGGGTCTTCTGATGCGGTCTCTGGTGACCTTCAAGTCGCGTCCGGCAACACCACGGGTACTAGCCCTACTGGCACCGTCAGCATTGCCGGTGGGCACGGCCCGGACGTTGGTGGTCGTGTTCAAGTTATTGCGGGCAACGCCGCGACTGCTACATTCACGTCGGCTTCTACGCGACGTCGCAAGGCCGGGAACGTTCTTGTGGCTGCGGGGTCGAGCAGCGAGACCGACGGCGGCGCCGACCTTGCACTTGCAGGTGGTGCCGTTGCAAGCAGCCACGGCGGCGCGCAGGGCGGCAACGTGACGTTGTCGGGCGGCTCGGGGTCGGGAACGGCCTCGGGTGGTACCGTGCGCGTTGCTGGTGGCGCCTCCGAGGGTGCTACAAGTGGAAGCGTCGACGTGTCAAGCGGTCGCAGCACGATGCAGTCCGGCAACGTGCGCGTGTCGACAGCATCGAGCGATCGTACGGGCTCCGTGGCCATCACGAGTGGACACGCCGCGTCGCAGGTCTCGGGCGACATGATTGTGTCGACTGGCGACAGCTTGTCTGCCGTTGGACACCTTCAAGTGCGCGCGGGTGCGAGCGCAAGTCAAGAGGGTGGCAACGTTACCGTTTTGAGCGGTCGTGGGTCGCTCTCGAGCGGCGCCGTCACCATAGCGTCCGAGAGCTCGACGGCCACGGGCAGCGTGGGCGTGACGACGGGCGGCGCGACGGATGCCTCCGGCTCTGTCGTCATCTCGACCGGCGCTTCGCAACGCGCTGACGCGGGCAGTATCGAACTCAGTGCTGGCGACTCGGGCCTCGGTCTTGGAGGCCGCATCTCGTTGGTCGGCGGCCGTGGTCTTGTCGACAGCGGCGCCATCAACCTTGCTTCGGCGTCGGCGTTGAAGACCGGGACGATCTCGCTCGCATCCGGTGCGGGCTTGGACGAGTCGGGCGCAATCGACATTGCGACGGGCATGGCTGCGCGGGCGGGCGCTGTCCGTCTCGGCGGTGGCCGTTCGACACACGAGGGCGGCACCGTTGCGATTTCCGGCTCGGCATCGGAAACGGCGACTGGCGGCCGTCTGGCGCTCACGAGCGGCGCGGGGACCGTCAGCGGTGACGTGAATGTTGCGTCGTCCGAGTCCGAGACAAGCGGCGCGCTTCGCTTCTCTTCGGGCAATGGCGACCAGTCGTCCGGCGACGTCGTTCTGGCATCTGGTTCGTCTGCGACATCCGGTACTGTCTCTGTGGCATCTGGTTCCTCGGAAACATCTGGCGGTGTCGCGATGGTGTCGGGTGAAGGGTCACGGTCCGGGACCGTCGACATCGGTTCGGGTGCTGGTGCCGTCGTGTCTGGCGACGTTGGCCTTGGGTCCGGCGCAAGCGACACCTCGGGCTCGTTGGTCGTTCGCACTGGCGATGGTGTTTTATCTGGATCCGTCGTGGTTTCGTCGGGTCGTGGCTCGCGCGCATCCGGTAGCGTGGTTGTCCAGTCGGGTGTCTCGCAAACAGCACCCGGTGAGATTCGCCTCGCGGTTGGGTCGGAAGGCTCATCCCTGCTATTGCGCGACGACGGTATTGTTATGGCTGCGGGCGCGTCGCCAAAAGGGTCGAACATTCGTGTCGACGCTGGTGCGGCATCGGCGGGCGGCCATGGTGGTATGGTTACGATCGGCTCTGGTGCGGGTACGACGAGTGGTCGCGTGGAAATCGGCTCCAAGGGCGCTGCATCTACTGGAGGTGTCGTTCTCGCGTCTGGAACGGCGCGTGACGACGCGTCTGGTGCGATGCACATTCAGACTGGATCCAGCAGTGGCTCGGCCTCGGGTGCCGTGCGCATCGAAAGCGGCGCAAGTACACATACAGCTGGCGACGTCCTTGTCGCGGGCGGCGTGGGCGACGCTGCGGGCGGCTCGGTACGCCTCTCGAGTGGCGCATCCAGTGAACAGGCCGGGACCATCGCCCTCACGACGGCATCAAGTCGTCTTGGCAGCGAGATCACGCTGACGACAGGCGACGCCTCGAGCGGCAGTGGTGCCATTCGCCTTACGGCTGGTTCGAGCGACACTCGCGGTGGCGACATTCTCGCTACGGCCGGTTCAACGTCAACTGGAACGGCGGGCGCCATCACGTTGCGTGCTGGAGCCAGTGACTACATGGTCGGCGGCAACGCCGATCTTGTGTCTGGTGCTGGACACGTAGTGGGGACGTACATGTTTACAGCCCCCGCAGCGATCAAACAAGTGGCCAAGTGCGCCTCGTGACGGGAGAGAGTGCCCGCGAAAGCGGCGGCTTGACCTTGCACACGGGTGACGGCGAGTCTACGGGCGCGATTCTTGTCGGCTCGGGGAATGCGAGCGCGACCCCGGGCCGTGTCGTTGTTTCCAGTGGCGCGTCTTTGACGAGCGTTGGCGGCGAAACGGCCATACTTGGCGGTGCTGGTGTGCGCGGCGGCTCTATTCGTGTCGCGGCTGGCTCTGGATCGACCCGTGGCGGGGCCCTCGACTTGCGCAGCGGTAGCTCGGTCGGCGACTCGGGCGATGTCTCCGTGTCTTCTGCTCATGATGCGGCGATCAGCGGTCGCCTCCACCTCGTGAGTGGCGACAGTCAGCTTCGCAGTGGCAACGTCACGTTGGCGACGGGTACGGCGTCTGAAGCGGCCGGCAATGTTCGTATCTCAACTGGTGGCTCTGCGACCGGCGGTAACATTGAACTGTCGACCGGCGCATCATCGGGTGCAAGTGGCAACGTCCGCATCTCGGCGGCGTCCAATGCGGCCGCCTACGGCGGTAGCAAAATCGTCCTGCGGAGCGGCGACAGCCGCTCTGCCACCGGCGGTGACATTGACGTCCGTACCGGAGCTGGTGCCACCAGTGGCTCGCTGTCGTTGGCAACGGCCGAATCGGCGATCAGCGGAAGCATTACGCTCCAAAGCGGCCATGCAACCAACGGTCCATCGGGTACCATTGCGTTGTCGTCCAGCGACGGCGACGTGACCATTGATGGTCGTCAGGCGCGCATCTCAACCGTCGACGGGTCGCTGAACCTTGCGGCATCTGGCAACGACGGCGTCGTATCACTTGCAACGGAGACGAGCGACATTGCCGTGACCACTGGCGCGTCTGGCGCGATTACTATTTCGACGTCCAAGAACGACCGCGGTCGCAGCGGCGATATTTCTTTGCAGAGTGGTGCGAGTGCTGATGCTGATGCGGGCGTGGTGACGGTGCAAGGTGGCAGCGGGCTTCGCGGACACGTTCGCGTCTCTGCCGGCAGCGGTGCGATCCAAGGTGGCGCAGTCGATGTTGTTTCGGGCGCGGGGCGTGTGGCTTCTTCGATTGCTATTGCCGTCGGTCAATCGGTTGAAGATGGCGGTAGCTTGCGGCTTGCTGCTGGCGCCAGCCACTCTGCCACTGGCGGTGACGTCACTGTCGCTGCCGGTACCTCGGAAACACGTGGTGGTCGTGTCCAGCTGGCGAGTGCATCGAACGGTGGCACCGTCGATGTCACGTCGGACGGTGAAACGTCTGTCACAGCGGCGTCGGTCACCGTCCGTGCCACGGTTGGTGATATTTCCATGCTCGCTGCGTCGTCCGATGCAAACAGCGGCGCCATCAGCCTCAGCGCTGGCAGCAGCCGCAACATTGGCGGCGCAGTCTCGCTCGCCAGTGGACGCGGAAGCATCGGCGGCAACATTACGATTCGCAGCGCTGCTTCTGAGACCGCCGGGCAGTCTGGGCACATCTCGATTGTGTCGGAGGCGTCTTCTGACGCATCGGGCTCGGTCTCGGTCGCTTCGGGTGATTCCCGCAACACTCGGGCTGGTGATGTCCATGTGCGATCCGGCGATAGTGGCGCCGCGGACGGGGCCTCTGTCCAAATATCTGCCGGCAGTGCCAAGCGCACAGGTGGGCAGGCAACGCTTCTTGGCGGTGCTGGTCTAACCGGCGGTGACGTGGTTCTCATGAGCGGTGCGGGCGACATGACGTCTGGGCGCCTCGATCTCGCGTCGGCGGCGTCCACAAGCGGCAAGAGCGGCGACGTCGGTCTGCGCTCGGGCTCGTCCAGTATGCAGTCGGGTCGCGTCTCGATCGAAACCTCGAAGGGGGCTACCTCGGGCGATATCGCGCTCGCGGCAGGGTCGGCACAAGGCACGACTGGCTCGTTGTCGTTGTCGACAGGCGACAGCCAACAGCAAGACGGCGGTGCATTCGTGCTTCAAACGGGTGCTAGCCAGGCGAGCCATGGCGGTGACGTCGTGATGGCCACGGGCAAAGGTGCACTTCGAAGTGGTCACCTCCGCTTGGCAGCTAGTGGCGCTGCTACGGAAGGTGGCAGTATCGCTCTCTCGACGGGCGCGTCTTCGTCCGCATCGGGCAGCATTGCCATCTCGACAGGAAGCGCCGACGATACTGTCGGCGGCGTTTCTATCGAGGCCGGCGCGTCGACCTCTCGATCGGCCTCTGGTGGCGACGTTTCCATCCGTTCTGGCGCCGGCGAAGGCGCAAGTGGCCAGCTTGTGCTTGAAACTAGCGCAGGGTCGGACGGGTCGGGCGCAATTGCGTTGCGCTCGGCGAACGGCCCAACAAGCGGGTCTATCTTGGTCGCGACTGGTCAAGGTACAAGTACCGCTGGAGCGATCCATATTTCTGCGGGTGCGTCTCGAGACGTCCCAGGAAGCTCAGTTCGCGTGTCCAGTGGGACCAGTGCCAATGCCCTCGCTGGAGCGATCGAAGTTGCTGCTGGCGCCTCCTCATTGTCTGGTGGCGGTACCGTATCACTTGCTGGTGGTCAAGGCGCCGTCGGCGGTGCCGTGCAGCTTGCGGGCGGTCTCGGCTCCACGGCTGGTGGCACGGTGTCTCTTTCAAGCGGCGCGGGCTCAGTGACGTCCGGCGACGTTACGTTGGCGTCCGCCGACGGAATTGCTACCGGTCGTGTCGTGCTGGCGTCGGGTACGGCACCATCAACAGGTTCAAGCGGCAACCTTGAGCTCACGACGGGTGCGGGCAAGGCAAGTGGCCGCATTCGCATTGCGTCGGGTGCGGCTACCGACCAAGGTCGCATCGAACTGCGTGGACACTCGATCGACGCGCGTGCCTCGGTGGGCGATATGACACTGAACGCAGGGCGTGGCGTGGCGATTTCGGGTGGTGCGTCTGGTGCTGGTGGCGACATTGACATCGTGAGCGGTCCAAGTGCCTCCGCGGCAAGCGGTGCCGTGGCCGTTTCATCGGCGGCTAACGTTCTCGGTTCCGGCGACACCATCGTCGCAACCGGATCCAGTCCAGCTGGCGCATCCGGCTCTCTCGACCTCCATGTGGGTGCGTCGGAAACACCTGGCGCGCTTCGGCTGACGGGTGCGACGTCGCCCAACGTCGGTGGCCCGATTGCGGTCGCTGGCGGCGCCGGCAAGGTCGGCGGTGGCGTCTCGATTGACGGTGGCCGCGGTAACGTGCACGGCGGCGACGTGTCTGTCGTGTCTGGAAAGGGTGATCGGCAATCAGGACGTGTCGTCCTCGCGTCGTCGGCGGCGCGTGGTCCATCCGGGCCTGTCACGTTGGCGTCCGGGGACAGCGCAGACTCTTCGGGCGACATTACCTTGGTGCCCGGCCGTGCGGTTGACGACAAAGCAGGTGACACGTCCATTCACGGCGGCCACGGACGCTTTGGTGGGTCGATCAACCTCACCAGCGGACGCGGTACGGAGCAGCATGGCGACATTGCGATGACCGGCAAGACGGTGCGCACGCAGGCCGACGATGCAGTGGACGTGACGACGGGAACGTCGTCGCTTTCCATGTCCTCCAAGGATGGTCTCTCGATCAAGAGCTCAATCGTCCAGATCAAGGGTGTCAACTTTACGGCGCATGTTGACGGTGAGTTTGCGGTGGCGCATACCAACAAGGACGGGTCGCGCAACATTACGCTGCGCGCGCTCCCCGATATGGTCATGAGCCACGTGCCGATCCAAGCTGCAAAGCTATTGACGCCGTCCGACAGTCGCATCAAGACCAACATTGAGAGCTTTGACGAAGAGGACATTTATCAACGGCTGCAGAAGCTCGAGCTCAAGTCGTTCAAGTACACAAACGCGTGGAGCAAGATGATGGGTCTTTCCAACGAGACGATTCGCGGTGTCGTTGCGCAGCAAGTCGCCAAAATTTTCCCAGAGTATGTGGATGTCCGCGAGGACTTTCACGTGTCGGACCACGGGGTGCGTGTGGCGAACCTCACGCAGGTCAACACACAAGCGATCATCCTCGACTTGTTGGCCGCGCTCCAGGCGCAGCAACGTCGACTGGCGCTCGGTGCCAACACGCCGGATCTCAGCGGTAACCTGGACCTTTCCACGGCCAGCACTGGCGAGTATTTCAACAGTGCGGCTAAAGGCGCAACGGGCAACGTCACCGTCACGTCCGGCACCTCGAACGGTGGTAACTCTGGCACCATCCGCATTGCAACGGGTGGTGCTCGCTCCGGTGTAGTCGGTTCTGTTCAAATTGCTGGTGGCAGCAGCGACGTGTCGGCTGGTGGTCGGATCGAGATCACTGGCGGCAATGTGAACCGGGTCGGCAGCGTCGGTGGCGACGTTTTGCTTCGGTCCGGGTCCGGCACGACAGCGTCCAGTGGCGCGGTTAACATTACCACTGGTGATGCAGGGACCAGCGGCGACGCTGGCGCCCTCAACCTTGGCTCGGGACACGCGCCTTTGGGCCAAAGCGGCCTTGTGACGCTGTCCAGTGGTGATGCCCAGGCGGATGTTGCAGCCAACGTGCGCGTTCTCGCCGGTCGTGGACGGCGCCAAGGAGGTGCAGTCGAAGTCACCGCTGGGTCATCAAACGACCGAGTCGGTGGTGCTGTTCGTCTAACGTCGGGTACCGGCAACCAGCAGGTGTCGGGCGACGTCATGCTTAGCAGTGCGTCGTCGACGCATGGGTCAGGCCAGCTCGTGTTCAAGACGGGAGACGCTACAACGGGCCCAGCCGGTCGTATCAGCCTCTCGACGGGCGCGTCGAGCTTGGGAAGCTCCATTTCGGTGGCGTCGAGCGGTACAATGACGCTCGAAACGCGTACGGTGTCGTCGACGACGGGCCGCAACGACTTGATCGTTGGTTCTTCGCCGGCAGACATCGGCGAGTCCGGTGGTGTTTTGCTCTCGGTAGGCGGCTCGCGAAGCGGCTCGCGAGCCGGCGTTGGTGCGCTCTCACTCGTGGGCGGTGCCGGCGTCGCTTCGCCTGGTGGCTCTGTCATCGTGGCGGCAGGCTCATCTGTGTCGTCAATCGGTGGTGCGCTGCGTCTAGATGCTGGCCGTGCGACCCAGTCCAGTGGTGGCTCAGCAGTGCTTTCAGGTGGTATCAGTGAGTCCAACGTCGGTGGGACGGTCTCGGTCCAATCCGGCTCGGGTCTATCCGCCAACTCGCGCAGCGGTGACGCAAGTCTCGCCACGGTTTCAAGCCTTGCTGGCACGGGAACTGTCTCTGTGGCCTCAGGCGATGCTGCTCAAGGCACCGCCGGCGAGGTTGTACTTCAAGTTGGTGCCTCTAGCGGGCCTGGTGCACGTTTGGCTTTGTCCTCTGGCCGAGGTGCTTCGCTGGGTGGTCTCGTTTCGATCACATCTGGTACGGGTGCGACCATCAGTGGCAGCGTACAAGTGGGTTCGGGCGATTCGACACGAACCGGCACGGTGGTCGTTCGATCTGGCGCAGGATCAACTGGCACCAGTGGCAATGTGGTTGTGGCCGCGGGTGGTGCGGCTTCGAAGGCAGGCGACGTCTTTGTATCGGCTGGCAACAGCTCGATCGAGGGTGGTGCTTTACGCCTCGAATCGGGGACTGGTCCGGTATCTGGCGCTGTGTCTCTTGGCACTGCGTCAGGTGCGACGACGGGTCAAACCACTGTATCCTCGGGCGACGCTAGAACGGGCGCCTCAGGCGTTGTCTTTTGCAAACGGGTGACGCGCTCAAAGGTGCCGCCGGCAGCCTTCGTCTGGCTGTCGGTGCGAGTGCAAGCAGTGATGGCGGTTCCGTCTCGATCACGGCAGGCAACACACTGGCATCACGCGGCGGTCATGTCAACCTTGTCAGCGGCTTTGGCTCGGAGACCGGCGGCAACGTCTCGCTTACGACGGAGGCGCGAGGCAGTATCAATTTGGCCACAGGTCGCAGCACTGGCGCCAAGAGCGGGGACGTCTCGATTCGTGTGGGCTCGACCTCAAGTGCTGCGGGCGGCAACGTCCAAGTCTCGGCCGGCGATAGTGAGTCGCTTCAAGGCGGGTCTGTTGTGGTGTCGGCAGGTGCAAGTCAAACAAGAGCCGGTGGCGCCGTCGTGCTCTCGTCTGGTGGTAGCCCCGGTGGATCAACAGGCTCTGTGGCCGTCGTGTCTGCCGCGGGCGCGTTGTCGGGTAACATGACCATTGCGACGGGTGCCGGTACCGCAACCGGCGGACTCGTCCTCGGCACCGGCAGCGCCAGAACGTCTACGGCAGGGCGTATTATCGTTCAGCCTGGTGTCAGCAACAGAGGTGGCAGCGGCGTTCTTGTCGCTGCTGGCGATAGTCAGCTGGCTGAAGGTGGGTCGTTGACGCTTCTCAGTGGTATGGGCGCTTCAAGCGCTCGCACCGGCGCTGTGACGGTCTCAACGCAGTCATCGTCGTCAACCAGTGGCGATCTCGTGGCTTTTTCAGGCGACGGGGTGGGTAAAGGCGCAGCGTCCGGTATGGTTCGCATTGGATCTGGCGCTGCTCAAGATGGTAGTACTGGTACCGTGGTGCTGTCGTCGGGCTCGACGTCCAGTATGTCGCGAAGCACGCGCGCTGGATCTGTCAATGTTCTCGGCGGTGATGGTCAAGCTGGGTCGGGTGGCACCGTCACGATCGGCGCCGGCTCGTCGGCAACACAAGTCGGTGGTAACGTCGTCGTACAATCGGGCGCAAGTGGCTCTCGTAACGGCGGGGACGTGATTCTTGTCACCAAGAGCTCGGAACAAGACGGAGCTAGTGGTCGGATCTCGCTCTCGACGGGCAGTGCCAACAACACGGTCGGCGACATTTCCCTTCAGGTATATTTATCATCGCTATGTTGTGTGACGCCCTACTATGTATCACTTTAGACGGGATGGTCCTCGGCGGGGCGAGCGGGTGACATTTCGCTTGCTGTTGGCACGACGCAACACGGATTGGGTGGTGTGATTTCGCTGCAAAGCGGCAATTCCTCGGCAGATCGCAGCAGCGGTGGCGACGTTGTCGTGCAAACGGGCTCGGGACGCAGTCAAACGGGTTCAATCTCGGCAACGACGATGTCTGGCAGCGTGGCAACCGGGACGATCACGGTAGCCTCGGGACAGTCGCTCCGTCAAGCATCTGGTGCCGTAAGTGTGGCCTCGGGCGGCTCGCGTGGAGCCAACACGGGCAGCATCGACCTGCGAACGGGCGATACTCAAAGTCCACAAGCGTCGGCGGGCGACATCACGCTGCAAGGCGGCGCGTCAATTGCCACGTCCGGCGGCAGCATCATCTTGGCCGGTGGCAGCAGCGATCTGGGTGTCGGCGGGGCGCTGCTTCTCCAGAGCGGCGTCGGCGTCGGTAACTCCAGCGGTTTGGTCCAAATCACTTCTGCTCGCGCAGGCGTACTGGGCAGTAGCGGAGACCTCCAACTTTCTACGGGTGCTTCGTCGAAGGTCAGCGGCTCGATTTCTTTGGTCTCAGGCAGCTCGCCACCTGGTCAAGCCGGTGCCATCTTGTTGTCTGCAGGGCTCACCGGCGGCAACACGCTAAGTGGTGCCGGAGTTACTGTCACCGCTGGCGACAGCCTTGTGCAAACCGGTGGCTCCATCAATTTGATGAGCGGGACCGGCGTAGCATCGTCAAGCGGCAACATCGCGCTACAGACGGCGCCGTCACTGACAACCAAAGCCAAAACTCAGTACTCGTCGGGAGCCATCTCGCTGGTTACTGGTACAAGCGGCTTCGGATCCAGTGGCGGGCTGACGCTCTCGACGGGTCTCGCGACGGGAGGTGCCGGCGGCTCAATTCTCTTGCAAGTGGGCGATGGCACGATTGCAACGGGTGGTAGTGTCCAGGTCAACGCTGGCACTGGCGCTACTACTGGCGGTCTCGTCTCGTTGCAAGGCGGCACCGGAAGTCTTACCGGCGGCGCTGTCGCTCTTGCTAGTGGCGCAAGTGCGACGATGTCTTCTGGATCAGTCGTACTGTCCACGGCCAACTCTGGTGTCGCAGGCACCAGCGGTGCGATCACAGTCTCGACGGGTGCTTCCAGTACGGGTAACAGTGGCTCTGTTGCGCTGACGACGGGTTCAGCAGCTGCGGGTATGTACCTTTTTTCTTATATATGGTTTCCACATATTTAATGTAGGCGCTGGAGGCGACATCATGCTGAGTGTTGGCTCCGGCACGACGACGCTGGGCGGCAACGTATACGCCAGTGCGGGTGCAACGTCGGACCCTCTCAGCTCTGGTGGCTCCATTTTCCTCACGTCTGGGGTCGGCGCTGTGACGTCTAGCGGCAACATTCAACTCCTGACGCCAAACGCAGGTTCCAGTGGTACGAATACTTCGCCTTTAATCGTGCACCTCACATGCATGGCATAGGCACATCGGGACACCTGAGCTTCAGCACGGGTACGTCGTCCAGCGGCAATAGTGGCAATCTAGTGTTCGGCTCCGGCACGAGTGCTGGTGGTCAAGGTGGCTCTTTTCATGTCACGGTTGGAAGCGGCAATGTCGGGTCCGGTGGCTCAGTGTCACTAAGTGCCGGCAGTACGTACGGATCCGGCCTAGCTGGTGGCTCAATTCAGCTTCTTGGCGGCAGTGGCGTCTTGACTGGTGGTGCGATCAACGTCGTCAGCGGCGTTGGGCAAACCACGTCGAGTGGCAGCATTGCGCTTCAGACGAGCAACTCTGGCCCCTCGGGCGTCAGTGGCTCATTGACGTTTGCTTCTGGCTCGAGTGCGCAAGGAGCCTCCGGGTCTATTTTGCTTTCAACCGGCGCAGCTGTTGCCGGCAGTGCTGGCGGGATCTCAGCTCTCGTTGGAAGCAGCAGCGGTACATCACTTGCCGGTGGTTCGTTCGCTGCAACAGCAGGCACCAGCACCACAACAACCGGCGGTCAAGTTGTGATCACGTCTGGCCAAGGCGTTGCAACGACGAGCGGTGCGATTTACCTCTCCACACCAAACTCTGGACCCTCTGGCGTCTCCGGCTTGCTCAGCTTTAGCAGTGGTTCGAGCAACTTTGGGTCGTCTGGTGCTCTACTCTTCAGTACCGGTACCAGCAATTTCGGTGGCGGTGGCTCGTTTGTTGTCACCGTCGGAAGCGGCAATAGTGGCATCGGTGGTAGCGTATCTCTTCAAGCCGGCGGAACAACCGGAGCCGGTTTACAAGGTGGTCTCGTGCAATTGACCGGTGGCACTGGTATCCAAACCGGTGGCTCGATCAACTTCGTTACGGGCTCTTCATCGGCGACGTCGAGCGGTATACTGACGCTCTCAACAGCGAACAGCGCGTCCCTCGGTGTCAGTGGTGCGATAGCCATTGCAACAGGCGTTTCTCAAAAGGGCAACAGCGGATCTGTTGGCGTGTCGACCGGCCAGGCAACTCTTGGTCAAGCCGGCTCCATCATCATGTCCGTCGGTCAAGGAGACACTGGCTCAGGCGGCAGTATCATCCAAAGCGCTGGTCCAACAACAGCGTCCAACAGTGCGGGCGGTTCCATCACAATTCGAACAGGCTTCTCCAGTTTATCGTCAAGTGGAAGCTACACCCTTGCCTCAGCGAACGCTGGGTCAACCGGCTCATCTGGGTACCTCAGCTTCAGCACAGGCAGTACATCGGCAGGGTCGTCTGGCAACATCGCGCTTGGCTCTGGCACTGCGAATGGTGGTGCTGGCGGGTCTGTGGCTGTCACTGTGGGCAGCGGCACGCATGGCGTTGGTGGCAGTATCTCGCTCTCGGCGGGTACAGCTAATGGCGCTGCGGCGACTTTGGGCGGCAGCATTTCGTTGACAGCCGGTACTGGCAGCTCGGCGGGTGGTGCGATCACTCTTCTCAGTGGTTCGTCGCCGACGGCGAGCTCTGGTGCGATCACGATGGCGTCGGCCGCGACGGTGGGTGGTGCGCTCTCGGGCAACGTTGCGGTATCAAGTGGCTCGTCTGGTTTTGGTAACACGGGCACGGTGACAATTGCCAGCGGCGTCGCGACAGGCTCGACGGCGGGTATCGTGACGATCTCGGCCGGTGCGACAACGACGCCGACGGGTGCTGCAGTCTCTGTGGTTGCGGGTCTGTCGTCGACGGCGCAAGGCGGTTCATTGACGCTTGCATCGGGTGTCGGGTCGGCTACTAGCAGCGGCAACGTTGCAGTGACCACGGCTAACGCGGGGACGTCTGGTGTCTCGGGTGGCTTGACGTTGAGCACGGGAGTGCCGTCGCTTGGTAACTCGGGTGCTATTTCTATGACGACGGGCAATACGGCGTACAGCGGCAGTGGCGGTGCGATCTCAATCACGGTCAGTGGCACGCATGGCGTTGGTGGCAGTATCTCGCTCTCGGCGGGTACGACTAATGCGGTGGTAGTGGTGTCGGTGGCCTTGTGTCTATCAAGAGCGGTGCTGGCGACCTCACGGGCGGCGCGATCGGTATCGTCACGGGCGTAGGAACGGCAGGCAGCTCTGGTGACGCTGGCGTCGTCGGACTCGGCTGCTGGCAGCGGAAGTGTGACGCTCTCTAGTGGCACGTCGAACTCGGGTAGCTCTGGCTCAATCACCATTGCGAGCGGACTCTCTAACCGCTCTGGTGCCGGTGGCTCGATCACGATCTCGTCGGGCAACGGCGTAGCTGGTACGGGCGGCTCGGTTGCGATCACAGCTGGTTTCTCGACGGCCTCGACTTTGGGTTCGGGCGGCGCCATCACGCTCACGTCGGGTGTGGGGTCGGCCACTAGCAGCGGCGACGTTGCGGTGACCTCGGCGGCCGGCGGTACAGCTGGTGTTTCGGGCCAGCTCAGCTTGAGCACGGGCACAGCGGGCGCTGGGTCGTCTGGCAACATCGTGCTTGGCTCTGGTGTTGCGACGGGCGGTGCTGGCGGCTCTGTGTCTGTTGCCGTGGGCAGTGGCACGCATGGCGTTGGTGGCAGTATCTCGCTCTCGGCGGGTACAGCTAATGGCGCTGCGGCGACTTTGGGCGGCAGCATTTCGTTGACAGCCGGTACTGGCAGCTCGGCGGGTGGTGCGATCACTCTTCTCAGTGGTTCGTCGCCGACGGCGAGCTCTGGTGCGATCACGATGGCGTCGGCCGCGACGGTGGGTGGTGCGTTCTCGGGCAACGTTGCGGTATCAAGTGGCTCGTCTGGTTTTGGTAACACGGGCACGGTGACAATTGCCAGCGGCGTCGCGACAGGCTCGACGGCGGGTATC